CACTGTTGTGGCCTCTCCCGTTGCGGAGCACAGGCTCCAGACGCGCAGGCTCAGTGGCCATGGCTCACGGGCCTAGCCGCTCCGCGGCATGTGGGATCTTCCCGGACCAGGGCACGAACCCGCGTCCCCTGCATCGGCAGGCGGACTCTCAACCACTGCGCCACCAGGGAAGACCTGTATCTAATATTTTGCAGCTATTTTTTCCATTCAACATTGTTTTACGGTCTTCCCAAATTGTTTCATATAGATTTAAATTATTCATTTTAAGTGCTGTTCTATGTATCACCATACAGTGACTTCACCATTTTGTATTCATTCCTGAAAAGATGAAAATATAGATTGTTTCTAATTTAAGGTAATAAAAATACTGTAATTAGTGTCTTCATATGCATATGAAGACACTAATTACAGTATTTTTATTACCTTATACAGTTTCAAAGTATAAACATGAAAGTGGAATTTGTTATAAGTTATGTATATTGTTAACTACATTGTTACATAGTCAATGCTACTCTTCAAAATGACTGTATGAGAGCTTTTCATTACCCAAGTTCTCTCCCCAGATTGGTATTGTGTGACTTTTTACCTGTCAGAAATTTGGATATGAAATAATTTTTTTAATTTAAATTTCCCTAGTCACTAGTTTTGACCATCTATTCATTTAATCTGGGGTATTTGTATTTTCCTCTTCTGTAAACTGTCTGCGCATTTCCTTTGCCTATTTTTCTATTAGGTTATTTGTATTTTTAAACTGTGATGTGTTACGTATATGCTATAGATATTAGTCCTCTGTATTTTCCAGTCTGGTTCTCATTTTTTTTACTTTATGTTCTTTTATTTGTTCAAAGGTTTTTGATAAATTAGCTGTATCAAAAATCATCTTTTCCCTTTTGGCTTGATTTTGTAAGAAATCCTTTTCCTGCTCTGAAGCTATTAGTGCTTTCTTCTATATATTTTTTCCCCCAATAATTAGATTACATTTATTTTTAAAAACATTTTAAAATTGAAGCATAATTGATTTACAGTGGTCTGTTAGATTCTGGTGTACAGAATGATTCAGTTATACGTGATTCAGCTATACACACAGTTATACAGTGATTCCCTTATACATGTACATATATTCTTTTTCATACTCTTTTTCATCATAGGTTATTACAAGATATTGAATATAGTTCCCTGTGCTATACAGTAGGACCTAGTTGTTTATCTATTTTATATATAGTATCTGCTAATTCCAAACTCCTAATTTATCACCCCCCTTTTCCCCTTTGGTAACTGTAAGTTTGTCTTCTATGTCTGTGAGTCTCTTTCTGTTTTGTAAACAAGTCCATTTGTATCATATTTTAAATACCACATATAAGTGATATCATATGATTTTTGTCTTTCTCTGTCTGACTTACTTCACTTAGTATGATAATCTCTAGGTTCATCCATGTTGCTGAAAATGGCATTGTTACATTCTTTTTCATGGCTGAGTAGTATTCCGTTGTACATAGATACCACATCTTTATCCATTCATCTGTTGATGGACATTTAGGTTGATTCCATGTCTTAGCTATTGTAAATAGTGCTGCTATGAATATTGGGGTGCATGTATCTTTTCAAATTAGAGTTTTGTCCAGATATATTCCCAGGAGTGGGATTGCTGGATCATATGGTGACTCTATTTTTAGTTTTTTAAGGAACCTCCATACTGTTCTCCATAGTGGCTGTACCAATTACATTCCTACCAGGAGTGTAGAAGGGTTCCCTTCTCTACACACCCTCTCCAGCATATATTGTTTGTGGACTTTTTAATGATGGTCATTCTGATTGGTGTGAGGTGATACCTCACTGTAGCTTTGATTTGCACTTTTCTGATAATTAGCAATATTGAACATCATTTCATGTGCCTATTGGCCATCTGTATGTCTTCTTTGGAGAACTGCTTATTTAGGTCTTCTGCCCATTTTTCGATTGGGTTGTTTTTTTTTGTTGTTTAGTTGTATGAGCTGTTTGTATATTTTGGAAGTTAAGCTCTTGTTGGTCGCATTGTTTGCAAATATTTTCTCCCATTCTGTAGGTTGTCTTTTCGTTTTGTTTATGGTTTCCTTTGCTGCACAAAAGCTTATAAGTTTGATTAGGTCCCATTTGTTCATTTTTGTGTTTATTTCTATTGCCTTGGGAGAACGGCCTAAGAAAACATTGCTATGATTTATGTCAGAGAATGTTTTGCCTATGTTCTCTTCCAGGAGTTTTATGGTGTCCTGTCTTCTATTTAAGTCTTTAAGCCATTTCGAGTTTATTTTTGTGTATAGTGTGAGAGTGTTCTAACTTCATTGATTTACATGCAGCTGTCCAGCTTTCCCACCACCACTTGGTGAAGAGACTGTCTTTTCTCCATTATATATCATTGCCTTCTTTGTTGAAGATTAATTGACCTTAGGTGTGTGGCTTTATTTCTGGGCTCTCTATTCTGTTCCATTGATCCATATGTCTGTTTTTGTGCCAGTGCCATACTGTTTTGATTACTGTAGCTTTGTAGTATTGTCTGAAGTCTGGGAGGGTTATGCCTCCAGCTTTGTTCTTTTTCCTCAGGACCGCTTTGGCAATTCTAGGTCTTTTGTGATTCCATATAAATTTTAGGATTATTTGTTTTCGTTCTGTGAAAAATGTCATGGGCAATTTGATAGGGATCATGTTAAATCTGTAGATTGCTTTGGGTAGTATGACCATTTTAAGAATATTAATTCTTCCAATCCAAGATCATGGGATAGTTTTCCATTTCTTTAAATCATCTTCAGTTTCCTTTATCAATGTTTTATAGTTCTCAGCATATAAGTCTTTCACCTACTTGGTCAGATTTATTCCTAGGTATTTTATTTTATTTTTTTGATGTGATTTTAAAAGGGATTGTTTTTTACTTTCCCTTTCTGATATTTCATTGTTAGTGTAAAGAAATGCAACAGATTTCTGTGTGTTAATCTTGTATCCTGATACCTTGCTGAATTCATTTATTAGTTCTAGTAGTTTTTGTGTGGAGTCTTTAGGGTATTCTCTTGGGGGTGGCTTTGGGAAATTATTATTCCATCTGAATCTTTTTAATGGCTATGTGTTTTGTTTCTATATTTTCCATTTTTCATTCTGTCTATTCTTGTTTCATTTTTGCCTATATTCGTTCTTATAATTTCTTGTTCTCTTATATGAACAGTTTTTTCCTTTATCACATTGTTTACATTAAACATATGTTTATTACACTAATTTTGGATGATTCTGTTATTTGCATTTGCTCAGGAATATATTCATTTCATGATTGTTGAGTTGGCTTTCTGTTTTTAGTGTTAATTGGATTTTTTGCTTTCAGGCAACACACTGAGTAAGAGGTGTATTTCTCACTCTCACTCTTTATAATGCTTCTCAGTTGTCTCCACTAGTCCCCCAAGACGTTCAATCCCAAAGTAGCTCTTTCACTGGCACCTCAGGATTTCCTCCCATCCAGGAATGGCTTTGGAGACATCCTTGGCCCAGTCACAGAACCTGTGGGCTGTTTGGCTTAGGTCAGGTTTCATTGGCTCTCTATGCATCCCCTCTCTCCTGCAGCTAGGTACCATTGATGGTACAGATAGTTTTTTTAGCATCTTTTTATGAGTGGCAGAAACCCAGCCGCTGATTTTATTCAGGTAAAACTCCGGTCTGAACTGTGGTCTCCCACTACTCGTGGTGGAGCATTTTTTACCCCACTAGAGTTTTGAACCTTTGCACCTTTCTGTTCCCATACCTGAATTACAAAATGACTGTGACTTTACCCCCATTTATCTACCATTGTGGTTTTCTCATCTGTTTCTGGTCTAAAGAGATGTTTATCTTATTTTTAAGAATACAGTGTTTTTTAAAGTATCTATCATTGTATTCAGAACTGAAAATGTGTTTTTTAAAGCATGAGCTCACACTGCCAAAAAAGCTCAAAGTACTTTATGTTTTTAACAAGTACTGTTCTCAGTCACACATATGACAATATATATGTGTGATTTACGTACATTGCGTATTTGTGAAAATATTATTCAGTAGAATTCATTCCTTTTTCTAAAAGTTTGTGCTAAATTTTATATTAGTCTACTAAATAAAACTTTATTTTTTTTATCATCAACTAACTCCTAGATCAGTGTTGGTCTTATAAATCTGTAGCAACTCACTTGGCTGCATTTGTAAAGTCACAGGTAGGGCAGCCTGCACCTCAGTATTTTTCTTATCTGCCATGATATATAAATTCCACCAAAGTGATTCTCCTGGACTTGATAAATGTTTAGTCTTTCCACGGTTATCTACTAAATAAAAATAAATTTTGAGCAGTGCAGGACAGGGAGGTGATGCCTTTGCTACAGGGACACCTAACACAGAGTAAGGCATTTTGCCCATACTATCAAGAGAAGGCCCCTGGACGGTGAGCCAGAGTACCAAAAAGGAGACTGTATGTTTTAAAAGGAGATGAGAGAGGACCAAAAACAAACTGTTCTTCACCATGTTGTAGAGTTAGAAACCTTGCAGCAATGATTTGTAAAGCTCAAATAGCTGTATTGTAAATAAGAACAGAGAAACGAGTTATTCATACCCCCATAACCATTTAAAGGTGTTCATAAAGGCAAGCAGGTGTAATCATTCTTGAGTACAGAAGGAAGTTAAAAATAAATTTTCAAACCTTATCATATTTACCTTGCCAACTGATTCTGATTACGTGGCAACACTTACCAAGATTGTATGTAGCAGATAATGGTAGAAGTTCGTTCCCAAAGTTTTTAGAATGTTCGCCTTAAAAAATTTCTGGGGAATTTTCAACTTGACTGCTAACGCTTATTCATTTTTACCTTTTCTCAAACGATCTTTTCCTGACCCCTCAATTAAATTATGCTTCCTTCAGCACAGGTGACTTACTCTTATCATAATTTTTTCAGACCTTATGTTTTCTCTCTTCTTTCAGCCAACTGGGCACTGCAGTAGCTGAAATGCGAAAAAGGCAACAGTCACAGAATGAAGAAACACCTGCTGTGTCTCAAGCACCTGGAAACCAGAGGCCCAACAATACATGTTGCTTTTGTTGGTGCTGTTGTTGCAGCTGCTCCTGGTATGTCTTCTTATCTGTGTGATACCACACCTGAGCTGGGTCATAACTGGCGTGAACCTGCACGTCAGCTCTCGGGACCACAGAAACTTCTCAATCTGTCCTTTTTTCTTCCTTTACAAGTAGGAATTACTGGAAACGATCGTTGGTTTAATGCACACATTTCCATAAGCAAAATATCATATTTCCTCAAAATCTACAATGAAATTGGTAGTAAGGTAAAGAGTGAAAAATTGTTTTATATCATGGTTTTCTCCACCCGTGCTTCTTAAAGGTATGGGTAAAGATAAGATTACGGCTGTATATTTACTGAACAGTAAACAACATTCTCCCATGTTACAGAGGGTGCAAGAACACTAATATAATCTCTAGTAGTGTCGTATGTAGTATTCAGGGTAGTGTTTCAGCTCTCTGCTATTCCGCGTGGTGTTGATTGTTCTGTCGCAGAGCTGGGTGGCAACTTCAGCCATAGACTCCTGAAAAGGACATTAAGAGAAGCGCCACAGACTCAGGTCCACAGATCTAAAAGGCCAGGGGCTATGATGGGTATGAAGGCCAAGTCAGTTCATTCAAAACTCTGAACTTAGAGCCAGAGAACCTGCTTTCCATTGTGGTTTTGTCCCTGACAGGCTCTGGGACATCAGACAAAGTTGTGATCTCTGCTTTTTGGTTTTCTCACCGGCAGAGTGATGAAGAGCCAGACAAGTTGGTTTTCAAGGTCCTGTCTCGTACTAAATGTCCATGGTTCAGGCACCTTAGAAAACCTGCTTTAGTTCCAAATTCCCAAAGTCTTCAAATAAGAAAATCAGTGAGACCCAGAGTCCTGAGATTTACAAAGATGAGATTCCTCGAGGCGGGAGCGGGGGGGATGCTAGACTTAATGGAATTTCCATAGAACCACACGTTTCAGGGTACTGTAAGATCCAATTCACAGGTGGATCTTTTGGGTTAGCAGTGGTCTGTTGGATCTCCATGACCTGTTTCAAAACCCTAAAGAAAGGCCCAGATGCTTGAGTCATCTTCTCACACATGATCTCTACAGTTTCTCAATGTCCATATTATGACGGTTGGTGTTATGATATAGTGGCATAATGTTCTATCACAGTGGCCAAAAGAGAAGATGAAATATGTAATGCTCCAGTGGCAGCCTTGGTGTTGAACAAGCTCTGAGCTCTCTAGGAAACTTCATTTCCAGAAAAACCATCCGATACTGTAGCAATCTGGAACGTTTAAAGTAGTTTTTATAGATATCAAAATTGCTTCCCAGATGATGATTCTTTTTCGGGGAAAGTCATGTACGATTCCTTTTTCTTTCATTCTTAAGCCTCAAATTCAGCATTTCAGATGGAGGCAACAGAGTCCTAGAGGAGAGAACTATTTCAATGCAACCGTGTCACATTTTTCTCTCTCGTTCCTCAAGAGATCAGCTAGCTCTGGTCTTAATCTGTGAAATACGGGGTAGTGACTTAACACGGTGGTTCTGGAGTCAGACTGCCTGGGTTCCAGCTCTTCATCTTTCACTATTTGTTTGACCTTCAGCAAGTTGCTTAGTGTCTGCAGATTCCTCATCTATCAAATGACAGTAATAAGAATCCCTACCTCATAAGATTGCTTTAAACATTAAATGAAGTAAAACCCATACGAGCTGAGAACAGCGCCTGACCCATAGTATGCATTTAATAAGAGTTAGTTACTGGGCTACGGAACACTTCATATTGGGAAAATAAAATCTCTTTAAAGAAGATCTGGCTTCAAACCATGTATATTTTTTTAAAAAGATCAGCTTGTAGATACAATACAAAAAATTATCTTGGAAAGGAAAACTATTTTATTTTAAAGTTCATATGAAAGGTCACAAATATATTGTTACATCGTGTTGAGGATTATATTCCTAGTTCTCACTTGCTCTGCGCCATGTTCCAGTAATTAGTATATGATTTTGTTTGCCTGCAAAAACTTATTTCTGAATTGCTTCAGGATTAACACACCAAACGCTGAAAGGCTTCAGGATTAACACACCAAACGCTGAAGGTTTTTTGTGCAATATTTGCTGTCAAACAGATGCGTAGTGAGATTTGCTTTGATCTGTCCTACAGATATTTAGCAAGACTTGCTTTTACTAATTCTTAAAGTGCACATTAAATAACAAAATAGTCAACGTGAGCTCGTGAGCATCAGATTGTCACAGAACACAGACTATGGATGGAGAACAAAACAGCTTTTGGAAGCTGCATTAACTCTCCACACGTCTAGGGCGACAGGTATTTGGACCCTAAACACGTGGTGCCTTGGATGCATGTTCTATTAGTTTTAGACGAGAGAGTATTGTTAAGAACTATGTTTGCTAATAATGAGTCATGGACACTCAAGTCCAGGCCATAAAACGCAGAGTCTGTAAACGTATGCCTTCTTTACATGATAAATGATAGGTAAGGTAATTTCTAACGTAAGCAACTATTTTAAAAAACAAGAATGAAAGTGAAATTGCATTTTAATTGTAACTCTGTTATCTCAGTATAAATGGAGATGTCCTTTACACATGCATTTTTAGAGCATCATAATTTTTGCATTTTGAGTTTAGGGGAAAAAAATTGTAAAGTCTTATTAGAGTGGAAAAAAAAAAAAGAAAGAAAGCAATGTTCTTCAAATTTTCCAGGCTAGGGAAAAGGAGTATAACAAAAAGAAACACTAAAAAAAAAATGTAATTTAGGGACAAAAAGTTAGAAATAAAAGTATGAAGTAACTGTCGTTCGTAAATAGGAATAGTTACCATGTAGCTGATTTTACCTCCTTTTAAGGGAACAGAGTGCTAAGAAAATAAATTTCTATATCTAGTAATAAATATAAATACTTCACTCAAGCCTCACATGATGGGTTTTTAAAACAACTTAGTATTTTCCTCAAATTTGCATTTCTCATTCATATTTCATCGTCAGCTCCTCTCTCATGTTTAAATTTATTCCTGCCTTTATAAAATTACCACTATGCTTTATTTTGGGTGGTGATACAGAGCATAAATACATAACTGCTGAATAGTTCCACAGTTTCCTTCAAAACTCTCAAAAGTTAGGATTACTTCACGACGTCCTCTGTCCCTGTCAAGGAACCACTTCCTTCCCCAAATCCATCTATCTCCCTTTTCTCCCCAGAGCCCTCCATTTCAAGAAGAGAAAGCAAAGGAATGAGGTTGAGACCGTTTAACCTGTGTTACACAAATAAGTCATGGATGCCCGAGTCTTGGCCATCAAGCAGACAGTCTGTAAGCTTGCAAGCCCTTCTACACATGGGACAAAGCTGTTCCCAACCAGGAGAGCTTTGTCAAGATCACGTGTCTAGAGATTCAGAATTGTCAAAACAATGTTCCCCTTATATCAGGATTCAAAGAGAATGACCTGCCTTTTCAGGTTGTTAACCCTCTTCCCTTTTCTTTATGAGAAAGAAACCTTTCAAAGATGTGGGATCCTTGCAAAACTGCCGACAGTGTGAATCCATGAGGTAGTTCAGACACCTGTGAAAGTGTGTCAGAAACCAGAAATTGCGTTGTGCTCACAAAACAAGGTGCCATAAAAAGGAGGTAGAAAGGGAGCGCTTCCAAAATGCATTGCGAGCTTAAACCTAATTTCCAACTTGTCCCTTGAACCCTCCTCTCCTAACATCAGAGGTTAAACTAAAATAACTCAGAGTATTTTTTTCAAGGAAATCTCTAGGTGCTAATCCACTTCTGCTTTAATTCCTCATTGCTCCCGGGGGTGTCCTAGCAAGAAAAACAGATTGCTTTGTTTACTTAAAAAAAATGAGAACTCAACAGACTTCAGATACCATGCCTCCAAAACGTTCCATTGGCTTCTCATGCTGCTGCATGGTGGTGAGGGCATCACTCGGATGGGGCAGCCTTAGGCTCGCCACCTGCAGTTTCCGAGGGAATGGGTTCTCTCTTTCGCTACTTTACTTACTAGATTAGTGTATAAGCTTTTGTTTGGAAGCAAAAAATGTCCTCACTTAAAAACTAATGTTCAGAAAACTCTGTGCCTCATTTTACAGATAAGGCAACTGAAGACTTGCCTACTGTCACTAAGCTCATTAACGACAGAAGTGGGACTAAAATGCAAGTCTCTTAACATCCCAGTCCATTGTTTTGTCCATTTTAAGAGAACACTTCCAAACTTTTCATTTCCAGGCTGGATATGAACTGATTCCAAAGCTTTTTACTTTGCAAACTCTTCAAGAATTATATTAAGTAACACTTTTCAAATGAAATTCACAATCCCATGCACTACTATGTATTGCCTACAAGATTTCATCCACTGCATCGGATGGTCTCCATTCTTCTCGGGAGAAATGGGCCAGAACGTTACTACATTAAATAGTCCTGTGAAAGCTAAAATTATCTCCCTTTTGACACGTTAGTTTCCAGACCACGGAACAGATCTAAGTAAACTTTAAGCCCTTCATAAACATACTTTTGGTTGCCCCTCCCTCCATTTTTAACAAGTACCACAGCCTCTATAATTCAAAACAGTGCAAAAATAATGTCCTATTTTATCCTCTGACACTGTCACACTTTAGCTCTTTGCTAGTGGAAACACTAAAACGCATGCTTTAAAAGCCAAAGGATATTTTTTCAAAGGAAGAACAAAATCTGCGTCTGCTCCATGGTAAAGAAACCACCCCCTGGAAATAAACTGCTCACACATGCAAGTTGAATCATTTCATCTAAGGCACCAGTGAAGGAGCAGTCTTTTCTCTAGCTATCACCCTCAGAGACCTGATTCATCTCACATGGGAGCACAACTTATCTGCATAGGATTTCCAAAGGACGTGTAACCAGACCATCAAAAATATCACTTACAAAGAATTCTAGTTTTGAAAACTCTATCTCACCATGTCATAGGTAAAATTTGTCAGTAGTTTCTATAACTTATACCATCTTTTAAAGGCACACAATCAGAAGACATGTACCAAAATGAACCCAGGTTTCCCAGGCCATATACACAAAACCAAAA